GAATGTAATATAATGTAATCTGATCATATTGTATCTATTATTTTAAACAGCATACAGTTTTACTTTTCTTTAAAATGTTTTTGTTTTATATTTATATCTTTTATCCTGTTCTCCATGAAAAACAGTTTTAAGGCACTGCGATCAAAGCAAGTGCTGTCATGAGTGCTTCCTGGATGTCGAACATCAATATACAAAATTTCTCCTCTTGGTCCTGCAGCAGCCTAAACACATAAAAAAATATATACAGTGCACAATATTTTTCGTTGCAATTTAAATAATTGTATAAAATTATCAAAATATTTAAAGAAAATGAGCCTTTTCTACTGCGAAAAATTTCTCCAATTTCTTTGTCAGGATTGGCAATTTTAATCAGGGTCCCATCAATGCAAGCAGCAACGTTTGGGAATTCAGCTATTTCATAAAATGTTCTGATGTTGCTTCGTTGATCTTCTAGAGTTTTAGGGAATTGTACATATTCATGAAGTTTCTCTGCAAATGCTATTGACACTGCTTTAATACATCTGCATACAGTGGGTTGCGTGAAACCTCTTAAGTCACCTGTAACAGCCTGATATTTATAATTTCATTAAGAATTACTTTAAATCTAATAAAAATTTAATTAATGCTTGTTTTAATATTTATTTTATTTACTTGATAGTTGCCAGTGGCATAAAATCGGAGAGCCATAAGAAGTTGTAAAACAGGTGGTACTGGTAAACCTCTGTTACTATCTTTTGCTAAGTTGCCTTCAATAATTGGCAATATATAATACATAATTGCTTCTTTACTAAATTTGAAACGTTTTTTGAATGCTTCCTCATATAAGAATTCAAAAGGATTTGAGTGATCTCGAATATAACGCTTAGGTATTTTTGTATGTGCAACTTCTGCCATATCCATAAATTCCAAAAAGTCATCTAAATCTTCCATGTTAATCTGATAATCCATAAAAAATAAGAAAATTAATAATAAAAATTCTTACTAAATAATTTTTGTATGTAGTCATTATTACTATTACAGTTGTTAAAAATTTTAATATATACAATAATTCTACTATTAACTTTTTAATTATCTAAAAAAAATTTATACATGCATAAAATATTTGATTTAGAACTAAATTAATCAAAATGATAAGTTTACAAAAATAAATTGTATTGCTTTTTCAATATTGAAAGATTAATATTATTACAGTTAGTTGTGTGAGTATTATGATATAAAACTTAATATGATGTAAAATTTATAATCACTTACTAATGATGATTTTTTATTAACACAAATAATTTTTTTAAATTAAACTCTTGCTTAAACAACAGACGAGGTTAAGGTTAAAGACGAGCTTAACTTCTGTCTCTTCTCTCTATAGTACACTTTATCACAAACTGCCAGGTGTCTTTACTTTCGCTTAGTCATGAAGGACCAAGTTTGATGATTAGCCACTAGCACTGAAATTTGAGGTTGAAGATTCGAGAGCTGAAAACTGAAATTTGAGATTGGAAACGAGATTTAAGATTTGAGGAAAGTTTCCGTATAGTTTACGCCATAAACCTGCTCGTATCCCTTAATAACCAGACGAGCTTTAAAACGATCAATTTCTCCATTGGCTTTGGCTTTAATACAGTAAACCCATTTTACTGATAGAGGATGCATATCTTGATTAGGCTCCACTAACTCCCACGTACCATTCTTCCTATGAGAATTCATCTCGTCATCCATCGCTTTAATCCAGCTCTCTCTCTCCGGTACTTGTAATGCTTCATTGTAGGAGTTCGGCTCGACAGGGGATTTATGACACATGTAAACAAATCGTTGCGGTGCTTGAAGTGTTGCTCGATTTCTCAACTGATACGTTGACTTCGATTGGTCTTCATTTCTTCCTCTTTCCGCTTGACCGTTCTGTTCTTGATTTTCTTCCTGTGTACATCTTCCTTGAAGTTCCTTTTCTTGTAAGCTTTCATCTTCTTTCTCTCCCTGGTTCAAATCTATCAATGCTTCCGGAACAGCGACTTCACGAAATTCAACATCTCGGCTAATTTCAACTCGTGTCTCATCCGGTATCCAAACACGATAGTTTCCAGTAATGTCTTCGTATCCTACGAAAATTCCTCGCTTACTTGTCGTTCCAAACTTCTTGTCATTCCTCTTCTGTTTTGGTACTCGTACAAAGCATTCACTTCCAAAAATCTTCAAATGATGTAAAGGATATTCGCGATTAAACCAAGCTTCATAAGGTGTTTTCCCTTTTTCCCGTGACTTTCCCGAACGATTCAGAATATATCCAGCACAGTTCAATGCTTCTGCCCAAAAGCGTCTGGACATCCCATGCGTTAAGGGGATGCTGGAGCCGTAGCCGAACTCGATCAGCGTCGATAAAGAAGTGCTCACCGACTATATCTGTCCTTGTATAGACAAAGATATAGACAAGGATAGCACGCTACATTGCACGCACACATACGCACGATGCACATCGACATTATACTTTTATATTACGCTTCCAAATCTTGATTTGGTGGGTTTATCGATGTTTTTCTTGTTGTGCAATTCGGGGGAACTTCAAAAGCGCGGCGCTGGGTAGCTGGAAGAGGCACGCCGCCTGGTGTCGGCCAGTGACCGAATGTGTATGCACACGTGGAAGTGCGGCGTCTAAACGCTAGTTACAATTAGAGTCCTATATTAGTAGAGAAACGCAAACTTGTTCCTCCTTCTGATTGGTCGGTTATAGACCAATAGACAGCAGGGCGTACGATCACAAGATGGCGGCGGCGGCAGAGTGGGAATGCCCGCATTATACAACTGACAGTGTTGACTAAAGTTTATAAATGCATATATATTATTATTTCTTGTGATCAAGGTAAGTAGAAATGTCTTTTCTGTGTTGTTAAATAACTGCAGAGGACTTTACTGACATTGTGGGTTGCTTATTTGT